GAAAAGTTATTTGAAAAATCATTGAGGCTTACTTAGATTGAATGTGAATGTAAGACAAAATCATTGTAAAATTTGTTTTGATGTAAAAATTTTTGTTTGTCAATTTTTTTTTTTCGAAGATTTTCAAATTAAGAAAAAAGCAAAATTTAATGAATTAATTTAATTTTAGCAAAAAAGTAAAAATTTAATAAATTAATTTAATTTAGCAAAAAGAAAAATTAATGAATTAATTTAATTTAGCAAAAAAGAAAAATTAATGAATTAATTTAATTTAGCAAAAAATTTGAAATAAATAATGAATTGTATGATATTGGATGAATTATTAAGGATTAAATGGATTAAATGATAAACAGTTCAAGTATTGATAAGCTTGAAATATTTCAATTAATTTGTCAAACTATTCATTTATTATTATTCGAATTAAAAGTAATCAGTTCTTTTTCAATTCCAACTTTCCTTTCTCTCTCTCTCTCTCTCTTTTTCTTTTGCTATCTAACAGAGTATTAGATTTTGGCCAAACATTTAAAAAATATTTAGAAATAGCCAAGATAGACTGATAACTTTTGGCTTTCATTCATTACCATATTCATTCAATATTTGCGAAATATAAAGAAGTAAACAAATATTTTCTTTCGAAATTTTAAATTTATCTCAATCAAATTCCTAATGTTTATATAATAATAATATAAACATATTATAATCCAACGAAAAAATAAATAAATAAAAATATGCAACTCAGAGAAATAGGTAAACAAGTAAAAATGGCAGATAGGTAAATAAGTAAAAGTGGTAAATAAGTGAAAGTGGTAGATAGGTAAATAAGTAAAAATAGTAAATAGTAAATAAGTAAAAATGGCAGATAGGTAAATAAGTAAAAATTGTGAATAGGTAAATAAGTGAAAGTGGTAGATAGGTAAATAAGTAAAAATGGTAGATGGGTAAATAAGTAAAAATGGTAGATGGGTAAATAAGTAAAAATGGTAGATGGGTAAATAAGTAAAAATGGTGAATAGGTAAATAAGCAAAAATGGCAGATAGTTAAATAAGTAAAAGTGATAAATAGGTAAATGAGTAAAAATGATAGATAGGTAAATAAGTAAAAATTGTAAATAGATAAATAAGTGAAAATGGTAAAGAAGTGAATAAGTAGAAATGAAATGAAGATGTAAATAAGAAATGGTAAATGGAAATGCTGATAAGAAATGAAATATAAATAAGAAATGGTAAAGTAGGAATGTAAATAAGTAAAAATGGTAAATAAGTAAATAAGTAAAAATGAAATATTTCAAATATGTCAATGTTCATATTCTTATGAGTGAATGATGATGAAAATTGTCGTAATGTTACAATTGTACTAAAAGTACTGCAATAAATTTTGTCGTTATAATTGACAGAAATATTTGCGAAAGAACGGGGGGGAAAAAAAAAGAAGAAAAGAAATCAGGTCACAAATAAATGTCATCAGCAATTATTTTTCATTCTTTTCAATCGTTAATTAATCAAACAACAATAATCGCATAAGATTGCTAATTAATTAAATAAGTAACTAAATGAGATTGTTTGAAATTTGATATTTTTAAATATGAATTTTAATTAATGCATACAATTCTCATATACTATTACTATAATTATTTTGAAAATAATTGTGAGTAATGCATATTAAAGTTATTAATTAAATTATCATTTATAAGTATAATTCTTAATGAATTTTTAATGATTTTCTATAATTGTCATCTGATGGTAAGAAAATGAGTAAATGTTTAAGAAATTAAAAAGAATAACTGAATAAATATTTAATTTGAGCATATTATCATTATTGTATACAATATATATGTGATATAAAATGATAAGCAAGAATAATTACTCGCAAGAGGGGGAGGGGGGGACATTTTGCTTAAGCAATAATGATTAATTACTTATAAGTCGGGACATTTTGATTAAGCAATAATGATTAATTACTTATAAGGCGGGACATTTTGATTAAGCAATAATGATTAATTACTTATAAGGCGGGACATTTTGATTAAGCAATAATGATTGATTACAAGGCGGACATTTCCTATTTGTAACATTTATTTCATTTGTGATTATTGCGTCAAAAAAAAAAAAACAAAAAAGAAGTAATAAATAATAAATATTATGCAAAGATCAAATTCTTCCTAACAATATTTATTTAACATTCAATTAAACTAATTATTAATACATTAACAATAGATAGGTTTTAAATGAAAGGAACGGATAAAATGTATTCATGAAAAGCATGAACTTGCTAACTTCTCGATAACCAACCAATCCAAGAAAAAGGAAGAGAATAAATTTAGCTAAAAATATGGGTAGATGGATAATTGGACAAGTTTAATTAAAAACATAGGTTAATGAGGCTCATTTAATCCTGTAAGAATATTCATCCATGTAAGATAATTGTTTTACAACTTTTTTTTTTAACCATGGACCAATTGTTTGTTTGTTTATTTCTTTGTTTGTTTGTTTATTCGTTTGTTTATTTATTTGTTTGCTCTTTTTCTTTTTTTTTTCATTTTTGCACAATATGGTTTAAAAACAATAAAATTTTGTTAATTTGTAAATATAGCTTAATTAAAATTTTTATCAAATAATGATAACAACAATCTATATATCTTTTCAATTTATTATGCTAACATTTTTTATAAGTTATTAATTAGGAATTAAATTTCATTGATCTAAGAGATGGATATTCTAACAAAACCAACCTTATAAGGATCACATCTATTGCTATCTTAGCTTTTAAGGCTCTGGTATATATACATATATATGAGTAAAGTATAAGGATGAGACCAATTCTGCCTAATTCTTTTGCCTTATTTCGAAAAAAAAAAAAAATTAAACTCCACAGATTGAAAGTATATAGGCACATTTATGTGATTTTCAACTAAGCATGAATAGAGAAAAGTTCTTCCCAAATCCCCCCCCCCCTCTCGCCCCTTACATTTGCGCAAGCTATGATGAAAGTAATTATTAACAGATAGAAAGCCTGAATAGATTATCAGAGATGTCCCATTTTTTTGACAAAGTTGAATAAATGTGTGTCGCATTTAGTTAAAGTAAAGAAATGAATATTCAAGTTCAAATTTAATTATTAAAATGATATTTTTGAAGATGAAAACAAACAAAATTGTTTGTATAAAATGTTATTCTGAAAAAAACAGAAAAAAATAATAGAAATGAAAGGAAACGAAGAATTTTTATAAAAAAAAAAATGATTTGAAATTTGAACAAAAATTAAATTTTTGAAAAAAAAAGCACAAATTAAAAAGAAAAAACTCGATTGAAAAGATTTCATATTTTTATGAATAAATTAAACAAACACATGTCTATTGTCATACAGTTTTAACAGTAAAATTAATTGATATAATTCATTTACTGTTTGAATTTTTTGACAAAATGAAATGAAAAAAAAAAAAAAATTACGAATGGTAAT